GCCCCAGCTCGGCCTGGGGGGTAGCGCCTTTCCCACGGTTAGAGCGGCCCGGGAGGGGCACGCAACCTTGACCGCGGGGAGAGGCCAGGCGCTCGAGGAGCCGTCCTCCCCCGCTCCCGGTGAGGAGGGGCCGGGAACCGCCTGGCCCGAGAACTGAGGGCTGGAACAGACAGCAGGCAGGGCCGTCGGGAGGCGCTCAGAGGCCGAAAACGACGGCTTCGCAGCGGAGACGGGCTCCAACCAAATACCCTCTCCTACGTGACCGGGAGGGGGCGCCCGGGGCCCTGGGGCGGAGCCGGCCTCCCCACGTGACGCTAAGCTGGGCCAGGCCGGGGTCTGCGTGCCCGCGGGGGCGTCAGGAACCCGGCCCCAAGCAGCCTTTTCTTTTCTCCCCAAAGCCTGCTTTTCATCTGGGGCTGCCTGGACAAGCCCGGCAAACCCCACTCACAGACTACGATGAGGTCTGCGCCCGTTCAGCGGGACAGAAATCCATCTCAGAAGAACAGGTAGAAATAGCCGGTGGGCTGGGCGCACATCCCACCTGCTTCACGGCGAGAGGCCTCTTCACACCCAGTCTCTTAGAGCTTCGATCCATTCACCCAAGAATAGGGACTCCTCCGGTGCCAGGCCTGAGTTGTAGAGGTTCTTCAGGCCAGAAATAGTCTTTTTTTTTTCCCTTAAGAATTACTTATTTAATTTTGGGGGACCAATAGTTAGCGTAATGGCTATGTCGCTGGACTCCCATGTAGTCAACTGCAGTTCGCATCCCGGACCCGGTGGCTTAAAACTCACGCCGGGCACGTGTGCGTGCGTGCCCAAGATCCCTGAGAGGAGAACAGAGGAGAAGGGATTGCAGTGTGGCCATCCCCTCTGGGAGGGGCGGGGGGAATGGGAGATTTCTCGCTTTCTGTCTGTCTGTCTCTGTCTGGCGAGCGCACGCGCCCTATAGCAAAAACCTCTCCAAAAAAAAGTATTTATTTAATTTTTAAAAAATTTGCTACCAGGCACATGAGAGAGAGAGAGGCCAGGTCCAGGATTTGAACCATGGTCAGCCATGTGGGAGTCCAGGGCCCCAACTATCATGCCACCTGAGGCCAGAAATAGAGATAACCCATGTCCAGTGCCCAGCATCCAGCACAGGGCACTTACTGTTTTCTAAGTTAGTTAGGGAGGTTAGGGCACTGGATTTACTGAGGATGGGGAGGGAGATTATGCACACGTGAAACTTGGCGGGTGAGTTGGGAACTGGCACCAGTAACTGCCCTGTCTGTGGGCATGAGCTCAGCTGGCCTGTCCTCAGACAGGTCCAGAGACAGCCCCACTTCTCCCCTTGCCTTCAGGAAGTGATGGCCATTTCCACACTTTCCTGGGGACAGCGACCACCTTTTCTTCTAGTAGCCCAAGCCTCTGAGCAGACCAAGCTTTCCTGGGGGAGCGCCAGCAACCCAAAGCACCTGGGGTGAGGGTCCTGGCTTTGTCACCCACTCAGAGTATGGGCTAGTGTGGCTTCTCACATCTCCCCCCAGCTCACAGCTGCCCAGTGAGTCCCTGGACTGGGTGCGGTCAACTCATTCAGTGTTTCTTGCAGAAGAAATCCTAAGGCCAAGGACTGGAGGTTATGACCCAAGTCCAGAATGGTCTCTGCGTGGGGGTTCCCCTGGGTGGGGAGGGAGAACTCATCGCCTGCTGCTTCTGGTCGCCAATCCCCAAACCTTTTTCTCTGCGCAGCTGGGCCTGCCTACTGTAGAGAAATGCAGGTTCTTGCAGTAGTGTCCTCTGACTGCCAGGCCCACAGTCTTGCCCTAGCTGGGCGACTGTGATCCCCGCTCAGGACCTGCTCTGCAGAAGGGGACACATGGGGCCCATGTTGAAGCGACAGAGCCCAGGTCTCAAAAAACCCCTGAGGAGTGAGGGGAAACGCCTCCAACCTAGATGGATTCAAATCAATGATATGGCCCGTAGCATTTGTTGCCACAGCCCCTCTGACCAGGAAGCTTGCTGGGCGACCTCAGAGCATCCATGCACGCAGATTCATCCTCAGGTCACACACCTGCCTGCCGGTGAGCATTTCTGATGCAGTGATGTTCATAGGGGCTGCCTCCAACCAGGGAAAGGCGGGCCTGGGTGTTTCCAGCATGTAACTTCAGGCCCCACCAGATCTCCAGGCAGCGCATCCTACAGACCGGGACGCGAACACCTGGAGACTGGCCGAAGGCACCACCAGCCTGCTGAAGAGAAGTAGGATCCCAGCAAGGAGGCTGTGACCCACCTCTGTCACCTCTTGAGTACAAAGAACTGATATCACTCAGGAAAGACCCAGAGTGGGGAGCCCCTGGGGCTATGAGATTCCTTCTCCGGACAGAGATCCAAATTCTCCAAACGAAAAACACAACACGGAGATTTCGGTTTCACCAGAATTTCGAGTGGGCAGGGGCTTCGGAGGCGGCCTTAAGGTAGAAACCGCAGAAGGACACGCATAGAGGGCTGCCAAGGGCTTCAGGAGCAGAGCCTTACTCGCCAAGGGAGCTGGGCACCTTCTGCAAACCGCTCACCGCTCCTGCTCTGCTTCTCCAGACCGGCGCATTCTAGAAACCGCCCAGCCCCAAGGCCCAGCGAATTTTTGCTCCAGGAAAAGCACCCTACATGGGTGTTAGTAAAACGTTCCCCAAAGTATCAGATCAGACAGAATCGGTTTAGGTTGTCAACAGCGCTGAAATGTTACAGACTCAGCAAAGCTCAAGCTACCGGGGCTTGGCCCAAGCGGCTCTCGCTGGCCCAGGCCAAAGAGGTGGGGAGCATCTGAGCGGGACGAGGAGACCCGCCCAAGCCAGGGCTGTCCGCGGACCCCGGGCGGCGAGTGAACCTGTCCTCGTTTTTTGCCCTAGGTCTTGCAAAATTATTCGCGAGTGAGAACGCGCCCCAGGAGCGCTGAGAGAAGGCCGGTGCTCAGTCTCATTCCGCTGTCTATGGGAGGGCCTGTTCTCCTTTGAATGGAATGGGATAAGCTGGGTTCCCTTCCAGTCCCAGAGCGCTGGCCGCACCCTGAGCGGACTCAAGAGAGACCTTTTATATACCACACGGGGATGGTGGGCATGTTTACAGACGGGCCTCGGCTCCTGCTGGGCTCGGTTCCTCATTCTGCCATTTGCACCTAGTGTGTGCCAAGGCCTTGTTGGGCCTCAGGGGTCCTGACAATTCGGAGCAGCCCAGGCAGCCCCAGCTGCTCACCAGCGCGGGATCCACTGGGATTCCACAGTCTAGGCTCCGGGTTACAAAATCCAGTGACGCCTTGAGCAACAAGACCTCTCCCCCAGGCAGGACCAGTCACTGCATGGTCCCCTCTCCCACCCCTTGAGGACGCTCAGTTCCGGAATCGCCCGGACTCCAGGGGCCGCAGACCGCCTCCCGGCTCTAGCGAACTGCAGGGCTCCGACTGGCTGTGGACGTTGGGAGCCCAGGCCCAGAGCACGCCGCCGCCCAGCTTCCCTCCCGGCCTCTAGCTCCCAGCCACTGCTTCAGTTTCCCTGAAGGCCCTTGGGGAGACAGCCTGGCTGGAGCTGGGCCGGGGAGGTGGAGGAGGAGGAGCGCGGAGACTGCCCATGCCCCTGCCCGCTAGCGGCCCGGCCTCTTACCTTGGTTGCGAATAGCGGGCTGGCTCTCCAGGCAGCTGGGCAGGTAGGGCGCGTTGGGGAACATCCTGGCCTGGCCCGAGGACGCCTGGCTGGGCGGGGGAGGACCAAAGGGTCCGTAGCGACAGGCTCCGGCCGTGCCGGTGAACTGGCCGGAGAAGTGGACGGTGAAGGCGCTCAGGCACTGCTCCTCGTGCGGCTCGGCG